AGCTCTGGTAGCAGATCGAGTTCGGGCATCTATATACTTGAGACTAGCGCTTGTGATGATTGTCTCACGATTGCTGTGCCAAAGAACTCTGTAGCTCATCTGCAGCTTGAGAGTGCAAGAACACGAGGGAGCCCCATGGGGGGCGCGATCCGTGTGAGGTGCGTTTTCGCACGTTTTTTGCTGCAGCTTCGCCGCTGCAGGCGCCGCCTCCTCCTCCTCCTCCTCCTCCTCCTCCTCATCGTATCCCTTCCTCTTCCATCCAGCCGCCGCTGCGGACGCCTCAGAGTGGTAAGACCTGGTCATCTGGGCCCCGTGCTCGCGCGCATGTGTTTCTAGGCCGCTCGAGTTGACCAGTTCTTATGACCAAGGGACTGGTTATGCTATGGGGCACAAGAACTGACATGGCTGCTGATGTTCCCTCCCCCCTATGACGTCTCTTTCCGCCGCAGCCGGACTTGACGCAGCTGTGCCTGCCCAGGCTACGACGACGAGGGTCCAAAAGAGCCACAAGAGGCCACAGCAGGGCCCGTCAAATAAACCCCCACAGTACCTGTCGGGACCGTCTTGGGGGCCTCTTGGAAATCTCTTGGAGCCCTGCGCAATTCAAAACAGGCTGCAATGCAAACAACGCTGCAACACACCAACAAATTGTGTTCGTGTGGTCGTCGCCGACAAGCTCGAGCAGCGCCACTACAACACACAAAACACGGCAATGCAACAACAGTTGCACTGCACAGCACCTGCAATGCAAAAACATCACATGTGTTCGTGTGGTGCTCGCTGGTACGTGCTCTTCAACCCTCCACTTCACCAAGCCACGTTTGGCTCCCACGCGGAATCCTAAGCTCAAGCTCGAACAGCTCCACTACAGGGCAAACGAACTGCAAAGCAACACAACACGCACACAAATACACACACAAACACGCACAAACACACCCACACACACCCACACACAACCACACACAACCACACACCCACACACAACCACACACCCGCACAAACAACACACACAGCACACACAACACACAACACACAACACACAACACACAACACACACAGCACACACACAACACACAACACACGCAACACACACAAACACACGCACACGCACACGTACACACAACTCAACACACCACAACACACCGCACCACACCACACCACACCACACCACACCACAACACAACACAACACAACACAACACAACACAACACAACACAACACAACAACACACACCACACCCACCCACACACCCACACACCCACACACACACCCACACACAACACACACAGCACACACAACACACAACACACAACACACAACATACACAACACACAACACACACACACAACACAACACACACCACACACAACACACAGCACACACAACGCACACCACACAACACACACAAGACACACACACACACAGACGCACACGCACACGCACACACGCAACACAACACAACACAACACGCCACACCACACCACCCATAACACAACACAACACACCACACCACACCACACCACACCACACCACAACACAACACAACACAACACAACACAACACAACACAACACAACACAACACAACACAACACAACAAGACACACCACACACACTCACACACACCACACATACATGCATACATACACACATACACACACTCACACACCACACTCACGCACGTTTGCGTCGGCGGCTGGGCAGAGTGACTGCGCTGGCGGATAGGGACACACACACCGCACACGCCCCGAGGAGAAGGAGGAGGAGGAGGCGGAGGCGGAGGAGGAGGAGGAGGAGGAGGAGGCGCAAGAGGCGGAGGAGGCGGAGGAGGAGGAGGAGGAGGAGGAGGAGGAGAGGGGAGGAGGAGGAGGAGGAGGAGGAGGAGGAGGAGGAGGAGGAGGAGGAGGAGGAAGTAGGAGAAGAAAAAGGAGCAGGAGGAGGAGGAGGAACAACCATAATCATAATAGTAATAATAATAGTAATCAGAGTATGACGGAAGTATATATATATATATATGTGTATATATACACACTTATTTGCAATACCCAGTGACCAGGTCCCCCGGCCCACTGGGTGGCCCACTTTTCCAAGATTCCCCCCCCGCCCAAGAACCCACTTTGTTCCCGGGCGTCTGGGACCCATTCGGGGATGTGTCGGGGATGGTGTTTATTATTTTTTTTTGGCCTCTGACTTGGAGGCCGTTTTGGGGGGCCCTGGGACACCAGGAAACGACGCGGGGTGAACTTGAGATCCGACGCTGCGACCAGAGACCAGCATCGTGAAAATCACGCCTGGAGTCCCCGTCCCCATGGCCCCGCGGCACTCTTCGAGCCAGCTCGATCCCTTGAGGGGCCCGGGAGTCCCCGCGGGGCCCGAAAAGCGGGGCGCGAACGCCCGGCGCGAGAGAGAACCTGTCACCACCCGACCTCCTCCTCCTCCTCCTCCTCCTCCTCCTCCTCCTCCTCCTGCTCCCCCTCCTCCTCCTCCTCTTCCTCCTCCTCCTCCTCCTCCTTCTCCTTCCTCCTCCTCCTTTCTCTCCTCCTCCTCCCTCCTCCTCCTCCTCCTCCCCTCCCCCTCCTCTCCTCCTCCTCCTCCTCCCTCCTCCTCCCGCCCCTCCTCCCCCTCCTCCTCTTCCTGCTGCTCCTCCTCCTCCTCCTCCTCCTCCTCCTCCTCCTCCTTCCTCGGCGGCCATGGGGAAGCGGTCCAGAGGTCGGCGCCTCCGCGGGGGCAGGTCTCGGTGCAGCGGCCCGTCGTTTTTTTGTTGTTCTCTCTCTCTCTCTCTCTCTTTTGTTTTCTCTCTCTCTCTCTCTCTCTCTTTCTCTCGCTCTCTCGCCCGTCTCCACTGCCGCGAGAGGTCGGGGCGTGCTTCTTCCTCAATCAGATCTCTCTCTCTCTCTCTCACGAGCGACGAGCATACTCAGATCCGTGCCCTCGCGGTCTGGGGCACCGAGGCGCGGTCCCACGAGCGCGCGGTGCCTCGGAGGGCGTTCCGCGCGGGCCCTCCGCACCAGGCCGCCCCGTAGCCGTGAGGGTGCGGCCGAGGCGGGGACTGATACGTGACCACCGCCTGGAGCGTCAGTCTCCGGAGCAGGCGGTGGATGCGGACATATTCGGGCCCCCGGGGGCCGAAATATATCCACATCCACCGCCCGCCAGGGCACCAGGACGTCGGTTCCCAGGCGGTGGATATGGGTAAGTCCCCGCCTCGCAGCTGCGGCCGACGAGCACTCCACGCGAGGGGGTGGCATCGGACAGGTTGCCCGCCCGCGGCCCTCGCAGTCTTGCGACGAGAGGGGCTGCAGCTGCTGGAGAGGGGCCTCCCACGCCTGCCCATGGCATCCAAGACTTCCACGTCGAACGCAAGGTTCTCGTGTACAGTCGGGGCGCTGGAGAAGGAACCCTTTTCGTTGGGGAGGGGCTCGGTGTTCCTTAATTGTTCCACACCTTGCCCAATGTTTTCCTGAAGTTGTTGGTTGCAAGTCGAAGGTTAACTTATGAAAGAAAGGGGATTCGTTCCTTATTTAGGGTTCCTTAGGTCAGCGCCCCGTAGCCGCTGCGCTCGTTCCGCCGGCCTGTATTATGCCATCGCTGGCGTTTGCTTGCGCGTTCGCGGCTCGTGCGGCGCTGCGCCTGGCGCTGGCCTTTTTTTTCCGGATGCGCTGCGACAGCAGGCATGCCGGCGAAGTAGTTGCTTTGGAGCTTGTCGTGGGGGTTCTGGCCTCTGTTGTCCCGCCGCCATGCCTGGGTTGTGGGTCAGAGTCTTCAGGGATGCTTCTTGGGGTCTCTTCGGGGCGCTCTTGGGGTCGTCTAGAGGGCAGTTTTGGGACCTCTTGGGAGCCTCTTGGGAACCTCTTGGGAGCCTCTTTGGGTCCTCTTGGGCCTTCCTGGAGGCCTCTTGGGGGCCGTCTTAGGGGCCCCTTGGGGATTCCTGGGGGCTTCATGGAGCCGAGGGCTCGAAATGTTCGCTCGGGTCCCCCGTCTGGGCTCCCTCTTGGAGCCGGCTTCGGGGCCTCTTGGGCCATTTTTGGAAGCCTCTTGAGCCGTTTTGGGCCCTCTTGGGTCGTCTTGGGGCCCTCTTGGAGTCCTATTCGGCCGTGTTGGGGCGATCTTGGGGGCCTCTGGGGCCGTCCTGGAGTGTCGGGCGGCCGAAAAGGCGAGAACGCCAACATGTTTCAGACACTGGAGGAACGTAACAATTTTGGCCTCTTGGGGGCCTCTTGGGAGTGCTCTTGGAGGCCTCTGGGGGCGTCTTGGAGACCTTGGGCCGTCTGGCGGCCGTCTTGGGCGTCTTGGAGTGATCTTCGAGCGTCTCGGACCCTTCTTGGAGCGTCTTGAGAGCCTCTTGGGGCTCTCTTGGCCCGCCTTGGGGCGGCTCCAGGAGTTGCGGCATCTTTGACGCGAACGTCCAAGGAGTGTCCCGGGAGTGTCTCGGGGTATTGTTAGACCAGGGACCCCAACGGGCTGCCACAGACGCGCGAACTAGAAATATTAGAAATCTGCTGCCAGAGATCGTGGCACGGCTCCGGCCCGTTGGATCGGCGAATTTTGGAGCAAGGCTTCGCTTCGGGATGAGAAGCTTGCAGGATGGAGGCAGCACGCCCGCGGGGGGGGCCTTGCCGGATCACCTCGCGGCCCGGCAGCCCCAAAATACCTCCACCTCCCGCCGGGGCTCCCGGGCGGGCGCGCGGGGCCGTGGCGGCGTGCCGATGCTGAGGTCCTGCTCCTGAGGGGGGAGGGCGGCTGCTGCTGCTGCTGCTCCTGGTTCTCCTCGTCTTCGCCACCTCCGTCGCCAGAACTCAGTCGTCGCCGTAGTCGCCGTAGCCGCCGCCGCCGTCGCCCGTCGTGGTCGCCGTCGTCGCCGCCGTCGTCGTCGTCGTCGCCGCCGCCCTCCGCCGCCGCCGCCGCCCTCCGCCGCCGCCGCCGCCATCGCCGTCGCCGCCGCCGCCGCCGTAGTCGTCGTCGTCGTCGTCGTCGTCGTCGTCGTCGTCGTCGTCGTCGTCGTCGTCGTCGTCGTCGTCGTCGTCGTTGACATAGCCCCCTGCTTTTCCTTCCGTCTCCACAGCCATTTTGGCCCAAGTCGCTGCAGCATTGCCTAAGGCGCCCTGTAGTGCTTCCGTGCCCCTCTTGCGCAAGAGCAGGACGCAGGGTGCATGGCGACGGTGGAGGATCGCTTGGCCGCGGTGGAGGCGCAGCTGGCGGCGCTGTCGGCCAGCGCGGGCGACGCAGAGGCTGGTGGCAAGAAGCCTGGCTCTGCGGGCAGCAGCGACGCACAGATTCTGAAGAAGGTGTCGACGAGGTTGCAGGACTTCGAGGCCCAGCTCACGGCCCAGCTGAGCAACATGCAGAGCGACTTTGACAAGAAGCTCTCGCACGTGAGTCGCGGCGCCTCCTCGATGAAACCGCTCGACGCGGGCGGGCAGTCCGCGGGCATGGACACCATGGCCGAGGACTTGGACCAGCTCAAATTCGACGTTGGTGAGCTCAAAGATCTCCTGAACAACAACAAGGGCGAGGTCAACCACGTCCGCCGCATCGTGCTGGCTTGCGAGCGCGACATGGAGGACTTCACTGCTGCCATGGATGCTGTCAACGTCGACTTGGACGAGATGCGTGCGCGCGTGGATGCCACGCACTCCATCATTACAAGCCGCCAGCGCGTGGAGGCCACCATGACAGCTGAGATCTCCACCATGAGGCTGGACATCGGTGACATTCAGGAAGCCCTCAAGAACCATGACTCTTGGATGGAGGATGTTTCAAACACCCTGCAGCAGATGCAGGAGAAGGAGGAGAACTTAACGGAGGACATCATCAACCTGAAGAACGAGATGAACACCAAGCTCGACACGAAGGTGGACAACGTGGCCTGGAAGGAGGCTAACGACGACCTGGACGCGGCGGTCAAGACCGTGAGAGACATGGTCTCCTCCCTGCGACTCGACGTGGACGCGCGTCGCCGGAAGGTGGACGAGATTCTCGCAACGATCAGGCACGATATTACGGCCGTCGAGACCAACCTGGAGGAGTCGAAGGCGAAGATCACGAGCGACACCGACCAGGCCGTGAACGCGCTCAACGGCAGGATCGATTTCACCAACAAGGATCTGGCAGCCACCCAGGAGAGCCTGCACACCACGCAGAACTCGCTCAGTGACTGCTTCAACGAGGTGGCCGTGGTCAGGAGCGACCTGGAGCGCAACGTGGCCGACACCGAGGCCCGCCTCAAGAACGACGTGCGTCAGAAGCAGCAGGAGGCTTTCGAGAAGATCGCGTCGGTGGAGCAGCAGGCCGAGCTCCGCAGCGCCGAGGCCTCGCGCCGCCTTGGCGCGCTGGACCTGCGCATGAGCGGCGTGCAGGGTGGCCTCGGGGAGCACAAGCGCGACATTCTGAAGCTGCGCGAGGAGGTCAACGGCCTCACTGTCAAGAGCGCGTCCCACGAGGTGGACATCCAGAAAAACAGCGACGCCATGCGCAAGATGGAGAAGCAGCGCAACATGGACGAGCAGAACTGGAAGGCGCAGATGGACGCCGTCCACGATGTGCTGGACACCAAGGTGAACGAGAAGCCGTTCGAGGACCTCAAGCACTGCACGGCCTCGCTCACCAAGGGCGTGGTCAAGTTCGCGCAGGTCGTCGGCGTCTTCCCCGGCCCCAAGTTCGACGACGCGGATGGCGGCGACCAGGGCGAGGCGGACGTCGAGCTGCTGGGCTGGGAGGAGTGCGCGGAGAACATGTCCTTCCGCGTGGACAAGGCGTGGCGCCAGAGGTGCTCGCAGCGCTTCCGCAACGTGCTGGACATGGTTGCCAAGAAGGCTCAGCGTGAAGCAATGGGGGTCCTGAGGGCTCCGAGGGTTCTGAGGGCAAGGGGTTCTGAGGATTCTGAGCGTTCTGAGGGTTCTGAAGCGTCCCGGGGTCCGGGGCCCGTTTTTCTGCTGTGTCGGGCCCTCGGGCCCTTAGTGGGCCCCGGAAGCGGCAGGGCCGTTTTTTCACCGCTTCCGAAAAACTGTCCCTTGAAAATGGAAACGGCGAAAAAACAGCGACCTGAAACGGCAACAAAAACGGCCCCAGGGTCGGACCCGGAGCCGAAACCGGCCAAAAAACGGCGACGGAACCGGAAGAAAAAAACGGCGCTGGAAGCGGCAACAAAAACGGCAAAACGGAACCGGTAACAAAACGGCCCTGTCGTTTCCAGGGCCCACTAAGCCGTCTGACCAGCTTCTTGGAACGGCCAACGTCGAACGACGGCACCGCTCACCTCTTCTCTGCCTCTGTCCAGTTGCAGGGAAGGGGCAGTGAATCGGGCGACGAAATCTATACATACCCACTGCTCCCTGGCCAGGCTCATCCTGAACCCACGAGCTGTGTATACGCCCTCCTGGCCAAGCCAGGAGGGCGTGGCGTATGCACCGCTGCTGGGTTCAGGCTGGGCCTGGCCAGGGAGCACTGGATAAGTACAGACTTCGTCGCCCCAGTGAAGGGGCCCCTCGTGCCGGGCCTAAGGCGGACCACAGCGTGCTGCGCCTGCTGCAGATCTCCCAGCAGCACAGCCGGGAGGGCGAGCTGCGCACGCGCGCGCGAGCCTTGGACGTCCACGGGCGGCCTCTCCCCCCCAGGAGGAGGAGGAGGGAGGAGGAGGAGGAGGAGGATGAGGAGGAGGAGGAGAGGGAGGATGCAGGGGGAGGGAGGAGGAGGAAAGAGGAAAGGAGGAAAGAGGAAAGAGTAATAGGAAAAAGAGGAAAGAGGAAAGAGGAGAGGGAGGAGGAGGGAGGAGGAGGGGAGGAAGGATGAGGAGAGGGGAGGAGGAGAGGAGAGGGAGGAGGATGAGATCGGAGGATCGGAGGGAGGAGGAGGAGGAGGAGGATGAGGAGGTGGAGGAGGAGGGAGGGAGAGAGAGGGAGGAGGATGAGGAGGAGGCCTCTGCGCTGGGGGTCTGGCTGTGCGCCTCCGTCGCGCGCGCAAACCAAAGTCGCTCGAGCGCCCCGCGCGAGGGCCAGGGAGTGGGTTCGCGCGCGGGGAGGGGCGGCAGCGGTCATGCGCTGGCGGAGGAGCCGTCCGTGGACGCCCGAGCGTTGGTGTCGTTGCTCCCCTCGGGAGGTCTCCAGAGGTCTGCCGAGGTCTCCGGAGATCCCTCGGATGCGGGCAATATTTTCATCCATATCCAGTGCGTCTTGGACTTTCTCGGAAGGGGCGCCGCAAGGCCGAGGCGCACTGGGTATGGATAAACATTGAGGCTTTGGGAGGCAGATTGTAATTCATATCCAGTGCGCCTCATGTTTCTCGGGAAGAGAGTCCGAAACTCCAAGACGCACTGGATGTGGATCAAGACATTGCCCGCATCGGAGGCCTCTGCGGAGGTCCTCGGATGCCTCCAGAGGCCCGAAGAGGGCGAAGATCGCGCGAGAACCTCGATCCGCGAGTTTCCGAGGTTCATTTGCCTGTGCGCTTCTCTGCCCTCCTGACGTCGAGTCGCAGCTGGAGCGCGTCAAGCACGAGCGCGAGCTGTGGAAGGAGGTGGTGGAGCGCCGCCAGCAGCAGCCGATGCAGCTGGCACTGGGCGCGAAGGAATCGACGACGACGACGACGACGACGACGATGACGACGACGGACGACCCACGACGGACGAACGCCGACGATGCTCGGCGCGGATGAAAGGGAGCGGCTGAGAATGCGGGGGTGCAAAGTCTGCTACGCGCAGCCCGTTTCGGCGCCCCCCTTCGCCAGCAGGCGCTGGAGAACCGGTTGCACGCAGCTGATTCGCGAACCCCCACTCGACTGCCGTCGGCCACTTTCGTCCACCCCGAGACGACGACGACCTCCCTGTACCTCCCTGGACCTGTCCCAGGACGCGTTCTGACCGGAGTACCCTGCACGGTTTCCCCAGGGGCCGTAGGCGACCCGAGGAGGAGGAGGATGAGGAGGAGGATGAGGAGGTGGAGGAGGGGGAGGGGGATGAGGAGATGGAGGAGGAGGGAGGAGGAGGAAGGAGGAGAAGCAGGAGGAGGAGGAGGAGGAGGAGGAGGAGAAGAAGGAGGAGGAGGGAGGAGTAGGAGAAGGAAGAGGAGGACGAGTCGCCTAAGCCCTTCAGAGAAACCCTCCAGAGTATCCCGGAGGCTCCAGCCGTGGCCGCGAAAGAGCCTAGATCCTCGACCTTCAACAGCGACGACGATCAGACGTGCCGACCTGGGGGGCGGGGGTCGGCCCAGGGGGAAACGTTGACCCCGAATCACCACCGCATCGCCCATCTGCGCCCTGGGGCCCCGCTCTGCTCATCTAGGCCGGAGTGGATGGGGTCGGAGGACCGCGCCGCATCGCCGATGCATCGGCGATGCGGCTCGATGTGGAGCCCGATCTTCTCCACGCCGACGTCGCCGATGCGGCGCGATGCTCCGACCCATGTGCTCCGACCCCATCCAGGAAGGAGTAGGGGACCACATGCGAACCCTACCCCTACCCCCCACGACTTCTGAGGGGGAGGGAGGGGTTCATTTCGCTCGGGAGCTCCCGAACGGAATGAACCCCACCCTCCCCCTCGGAAATCGTGGGGGTTAGGGGTAGGGTTCGCATGTGACCCCCTAAGGAGGCCTGTAGCGCAGGGACCTGAGGCTCCGCCCTTCGGCAGCCGCTCGCCGATGCATCGGCGACATGTCACACCACCCGGTCCACGTCAGGCTGCCCTTCCCCGTGCCGGCTCCCCAGGGCGAGGAGGAGGAGGAGGAGGACGAGGAGGAGGACGAGGAGGAGGAAAGGAGGAGGAGGAGGAGGAGGAGGAGGAGGAGGAGGACGAGGACGAGGAGGAGGGTAGGAGTGAGGAGGAGGAGGAGGAGGGAGGAGGAGGAGAGAGGAGAAAGACGAGGAGGAGGACGAGGACGAGGACGAGGAGGAGAAGGAGGACGAGTAGGAGGACGAGGAGGGGACGGGGAGGAGGAGGAGGAGGAGGAGGAGGACGAGTGAGGAGGAGGACGAGGAGGAGGAGACGGAGGAGGAGGGAGGACGGAGGACTACGACGACGACGACGACGACAACCGAGAACGATCAAATGCCTCGATCCTCGACATCGGCCTGAAAATCTCGGGCTTCGCACGCGGTATCGATCACCTTTCGGGCTTTCTTTTCTGTTTGTTTTATTTACTTTTGTTTTCTTGTTTTCTTATCTTAACTCTATTCTCTTTTTTTGTTATTTTCTTTTTTTTTTTATTTTTCCTTTTCATTTTATATTTTCTTGTTCTTTTTTTTTTCTATTTTTTCGATCACCTTTCGGCTCTCCTTAGACGACGCCTTCGATCCTTCCTCACGGCGGAGGCGCGGCGCGCCGGGGGCCCACTGGCCTTCGCCCGCTTCCGGCGGACAGCTCTGCCCTGCCGCTCCGTGTGCGATGGCTGTGGGGCGGGCCGGCGGCATTCCGGACACAGATAGCCAGATGGCGATGGGGGATCAGGACATGGGGGGCTGATCGGGCCGGGCGAAAACTGGGGGGTTGGGAAAGGGGGGTTACGAAATTTGCTGCGTGCAGCTGGTTTCGGCCTCACCGAGGGGCCCATTCCTCGATACATGGCCGCCTCCGGCGCCGGGAGGCGCCGGGAAAATCAGCTACGTGAGCTGATTCTCAACCCCCCCCTTTGCTATCCCCCCCTTTCGCCCGACCCGAGATGAGTATCCGGTACCGTTTTGTCGGGGTACAATTTGTACCTTCTTTGCGGGTTGCAAGTGCAAATTGTACCTTCTCCCCCCCCCCGTTGACATCCTCGCACATGTCGCGGATGTGGTCAAAAGTACAATTTGTACCTTGTCTGTCAGATCGCGGGCATGCCCGGACCGGTCGATCTTCGATCGAGTCTCTGGGCCCTATAGGCCTCTTAGACAGGGTCGGAGCAGATGGGGTCGGAGGGTCGCGCCGCATCGCCGATGCATCGGCGACGCATCGGCGATGCGGCTCGGCGAGGGGCCCAGTTTTCTCGACGCCGATGTCGCCGATGCACCTCCGACGTCGCAAGAGAATTGCCGATGCATCGGCGATGCATCGGCGATGCGGGGAGCTCCTCCGACCCCACCTGCTCGGCCCCCTTCTAGGAGGTCTCGATCGTCGATCGAGGGCCCCACCTCCTCGGACCCCACCGACGGCGGCGGCGGCGGCGGCGCGAAGGACTCCGGCGGCGCGGGCAGCCCCCCCAGCGCCCGGGCGCTGCGCGGCTGAGGGCGGGCCCGGCGCTCCCGGCGCTCCGCTGCTTGAGGGGGCCAGATGCGAGCCCTGCCCCCTACCCCCCGCGATGTCTGAGGGGGAGGGGTGGGCTTCACTTCGCTCGGGAGCTCCCGAGCGAAGTGAGCCCCCCCCCTCCCCCTCGGAAGTCGTGGGGGGTCGGGGGCAGGGCTCGCAGCTGGCCCCCTATAGTTCTGCGCCCGCCGACCTCACGGGGCGGTGCGGGCGGACTGGAGCCTCACCCTTGCGGGCTCCAGTGCCGACAGGACTCCAGGCGAGGAGGAGGCACCCACACCGCTGCCCTGCGCGCCCGGTCTTCCCCTTTCTCGGTCCTTCTGGGGGGCCCTCGTCGCCACCGCTGGGACCCGCCTCGGAATCCCGATCAGAAGGCACACCGGGAGAGGTCCGGGGAGTGGCGGTATGGGTAGTTTCTCCAGGAACCTCACCCTTGCGGGCTCCAGCTCCGACGAGACTGGCGGCGCGCGAGGGGGTGGGAGGGCGCTGGGGGTGGGCGGCCCCCTGAGAGGGGGAGGGGGTTCTTATAAGGCATGGGCATGGTCAGAACGCTCTTTGAGGCCGAGAGGCCTCAGAGACAGGCTGGGCTTCTAAGAACCTCTTTGTCGTCTCAGAAGCCCACAGCCCTCTAAGAAGGCAGCACCCCCCTATCGCGCCCTCCCCCCTGGGCGGGCTGCATTTCCTGGGAGTCTGGGATGTTTAGTTCCGCATCGGCCCTGGGCCGCATATTCTTGGTCGAAGCCAGGCCCAATCCCGCTGGGTCCCGCCTCATCTGGCTTCATCCCGCCCACGCCGACTTCATCTGCTAGCTGGTTCGTATCGGCTCAATCTGGCTTGGCAGCTTCTCATGCGGGCTGAAGACGTTTCAGTTTCGCCGACGAAGAGACCTCCCAGGAGTTGCGCGCCACCCATCCTGTGCTCGCCGCCAGCGCTAATCTTCAGTCATCCGAGCTGGCCCGACCTCTGCCCAGGGTCCGACCGAAAGCTGGACGGACCCGGGGCTTCTCGCTTGCGGGCGCGCGTGGCCGAGGCCGTGGTGCTGGGAGCGGCGGCTCCGCAAAACGCCTGCTCCTGCTGCTCTGCTGCTGCTGCTGCTGCTGCTGCTGCTGCTGCTGCTGCTGCTGCTGCTCTCTGCTCCTCCCTCCGTCTCATCCTGCTCCTCGACGTCCTCCGTCTCATCCTGCTCCGCCTCAACTTTCTCCTCCTCCTTCTCCCGCTCATCCTCCTCCTCTGTCCTCCCTCCATCCTTCTTCCCCCTCTTCCCTGCTTCCTGTTGTCTCCTGGCAGCCTGCCCAATATGCCTCCTTCTTGGCATCCTCCGTATCCTCAATTTCCTTATTCCGCTCCATCTCCTCATCCGTCTTCGTTCCACTTTCACACAGCATCCTCGTAGAGCGTAATCTTAGCATACAATTTACTCACTTCGTGTCCTCCTTCTCCTCCTCCTCCTCCTCCTCCTCCTCTTCATCCTCCTCCTTCTCCTCCTTCTCCTCCTCCTCATTTTTTTTCGGTTGCCCTTGCCCCGATTGCATCGCCCACTACTTCAAGTGCCCTCGCAGCCGTCGTCCCTCGTTGCCCCATTCTCGGCATCGGACTTTGATCTCACGCGTGAACATACAGTCCTAAGTTTTGTTTTAGCTTCTATATCAGAAACATAGCTAAGGAAGTGGGCGTGAAGCAAGATGGATCGCCTCTCGCGCTCCTGCAGCAGCCTGATGTAGTGAAAGCTGCACAGGCTGAAATGCCCAACGGCAAATCTCTGCTTCCTCCTCTGCCTGACGCTGCTCGGCCTTCAAGGTGGCTGAAACCAGCAGCTCGTCGACGAGTATCGTGTGACATCGAACCCATCATGACGCTGGTGCTCCTCCTCCTCCTCCTCCTCCTCCTTCTCCTCCTCCTCCTCCTCCTCCTCCTCTCCTCCTCCTCCTCCTCCTCCTCCTCCTCCTCCTCCTCCTCCTCCTCCTCCTCCTCCTCCTCCTCCTCCTCCCCCTCCCTCTCTACGCTGGGCTCCTCCTCCTCCTCCGAGGCCGTCACCGCGCTCGGAGAGGCCACCTTCAGGCCGCTCGCGGCACAGGCGGGCCCAGACAGAGAGCGCGCGGGGAAGCCCGGGCGCGCGGCAGGCGAAGCGCTCGGGGAGCAGAGGGCGACCGGCCGCGCGCCGCTGCCGGCGGATGCCGAGGCGGAGCCAGACAAAGTCCGGTAGGCATGGCGTCGAGGACATCGCCGAGGGCACGTGGCGAACCCAGACCCCCGACGTCGGGATTTTTGTTGCAACGTCGACCCCCCCAGAGGTCTGGACTCTCCTTCCCCGGGACCGGCTTTTCTCATCCCGAGTCGGTTTGTGACGGTCCCGAGGCCCAGGAAGGGCCCCTGGAGGCCGAACGTAGCGAAACACATGCGTGGCTTTTTTTTCTCACAGCGCGAGGGGGTCTGGGAGGCCAGGCCCAGCTCGAGCTCGAAGAGGCGGGGGCGGTGAAGCTGGCGGGCTCGGCCGCACCGCTGGCCGCAGGGCGCCGCAGGGCGGCGCAGGGCCCGGCCTCCAGGGCCAGGGGGCGGCAGAGGCGTGCAGGGCCCGGGTGGCGGCCGGCGCGCGAAGGGCCGTACGAGCGGCCGGCGGCCGAGGGCGGAGGGCCGCGGCGGCGCGCCTGCTCGCTGTCAGGCTGGGCAGGCCGACCTCGCGGGCACCCTTGGCCAGCCCCTCGCTGCACACGCGCCCGCGCCCGCGTGCACTGGGCGGCTCGAGCCCCACGCCTGGCCTCGAGGTAGCTTGGCGCGCTTCACCCCAGGCCTTCGTTCGCGCGGCGGCCCTGGCCAGCTCGCGGCGCCTCGCCGACGCCCCAGCGAGGGGCACCTCGTCGGGGTCCCTCTGGCTGGGCTCGGGTATGGGGCCAGGACGAGGATGCAGCCCCTTCCAGAGCGTTCCGGCTCTGAGCAGGCCGCGGCGCCCGGTACATCCTCCTGAGCCGCCAGAGCGCAGGGATCCCCGACCTATCCCCACCCCAACTTGTCCTCGTCCCCGCTCCGTCTCGTGCGGGGCCCACCCACGGAGGGGACGATCGGGGCCCTGCAGTGGCACGGCCCCCTCCCCGACCGGCCACGGCTCGGGTTAAGTCGGGCGTGTCACCCTATACAGGGGGATTTTTGACGAGAAATGAAAAATACCTCCAAACAATAGCCAAAAAGTAGTCCAAAAATAGTCGGGGGACTATTTTGGGTGTATTTTTTAACCTTTTTGGTGCGTTTTTGGCGTACTTGTGATTTTTCGTCGAAAATCCCCTTGTAGGCGGACACGCCGGACCGGCCACGGCTCGGGCGAGGCCCCCGGGCGCGCGGCGCTCCCCGGGCGGGCGGGGCGGGCCCCGGTGGCGGGCCCGTGCCCGGGCGGCCCCGCAGGACCGCGGCCCCGCCCGAGCAGAGGCCCGCCCGCCGCTCGTGGAGGGGGCCTCGGGCGCCGCGGGCGCGCCTCCCCTCGGGAGGGGGAAAAGACACACAGACACAATTCAAGCGTCCACTCCCAGGAAAAGATGGGAAAATATGGGAAGTGGGGGGGGGAAGACAGACACCCAGAAACTATGGGAAACTATGGGGAGTCCTTTTCTTTGTGTGCATTGATTTGCGTGTCCCAGGGCCCCTCCATCCCCGCCCGCGCCCCCGCGGCGGGCGGGCGGGCGGGCCGGTCCCGCTGCTCGGCGGTAATTGCGTCTGCCGTGCCCGTGGTGCCACGCTCGGGGCCTCGTGGCGCCGACTCGCGCCCCGCTGGGGCCGGCTCCGTGCGCCGCTGCGCGGGCGGATGTGGCGGCGCCGGGGCCCTCGATCTCGGCCCCCGGCCGGCAGGTGCGGGTCGTGGAGCTGGGGCGATCCCCGCGTGTCCCGGAGCCGCACGTTCAGAGGCGGCAAACGAGGGGGGTGGATGACTAGGGGGGGGGATGTCATGGCGTGGGCCAGGATGTTTCCCCAGCTTTCATGGCGCCTCTTCTGATGTCACTGCGTCCCTGGCCCCCCCCCCCTTGGGCCGCGCACGTGCCGCCGGCCCCACCTCTTCGACGCCCCCCTCTTGGCCGCCCCCGATACATGGGACCGAAACGCAGGTGGCACGTGCGCTCACGACGTATGTATGGGTGTCAGCCGCAAGAGGACGACGACGGAGGGGGAGAAACTTTCCCGCGCCCCCCTCCATCCGTCATTCGCGGTTTCGGCTCCACGTGTCGGCCGGGCGAGGGGGGGATTCGCGTCCCAGGCCGCCCTTCTTCCGAGGAGGTGTGCGGTCAGTCAGAGCGTGCATTACCTACCCCGCTTTCGCTTCCAGGCAAAACCAAGTCATACCACGCGCCTCCTCGCCAAGCGGCCTGACCAGTACAAGCCGTAGTTTGGCATCGCTTGGTATCTCTTTGAAGCGAGGGTGGTCAAAAGCGAGGTAGGTTTGTTTGCCCCCTAGTCAGGGGAGGGGCTCGTCGTGGCGCTCCCTTGGGTGTCGGTCGAGGTGGTCGCGCCGAGCCTGCGAAAGACGAGGGGCAGCACGGGCCCTCCTCGCAGGGTGATCATGGCGAGCGCCTCGTGGTGGGGGGTGGCACGGGGCCTGCCTCGCGCAGTCCCTCGAGCAGTCCCCCCACGTTTCACCTCCTCCTCCTCCTCCTCCTCCTCCTCCTCCTCTCCTCCTCATCCCCCTCCTCGTGTCCTCCTCCTCCTCCTCCTCCTCCTCTAACCCTCTACGCCCCACGTTCGTCGCTCCCGCCCCCAGGAGGAGGAGGAGGAGGAGGAGGAGGAGGAGGAGGAGGAGGAGGAGGAGGAGGAGGAGGAGGAGGAGGAGGAGGAGTGATCAGAGAGCGTCCCGGGGAAGCGGCCCGCCAAGGGTTGGCAGCAGCGTGCTGGCCTGGCTTACCCATCTCATGCCCATGCGGCCTCGGTCTGCACCACTGCCACTGCAGTGACCGAGGGTGGGGCGAGCATTCAGGTCGCTCGAGGAGCGCAGTCGGGGCGCAGGTCGGTGGGAGCGCACGCATCCGGCGGATACATGCGTTTCCTTTGGGTGCAGAAGCGTTTGTCTCGCAGGCGCGCGCTGCTGAGAGGCGCCGCGTTCAAAGGGTTTGCCCGCGCCTCGTTCGATTTTTGTTGGCTGCCCGTGGCTTTTCCAAGCGTGGTCCAGGCGACGCTGCGCGGTAAGGCAGGTCGGTCTCACCGGGGGTGGCCCCAGCGAGCACGGCAGTCTACCCAGGTATTCCACGTCGGGAAATATCACACCGCCGCGAAGAAATGATAACTGGAACCCTCGACTCTGTCTTCCAGCGGCATTCGTCGAGCTGGATCGCGGCCCGCGAGGGCCCAGAGGCCCCTCGGGCGGGGTGAAATCGCCAGTCGCGTTTTTGTTCGGCGCCGGAATTTGCGGACCGTCCTTCCGTAGTCGACCTCCCGACCTCTCACGGAGCGCGCCCCGAGCATCCTGTCGCGGCGCATCCGG